AAACCTTACAGTGAGGGACTTCATGATTGGTGACCCTTATGTTGTTCTCACCCTAGTAAACCAGGTATGTGTCGAGAAGATATATGTACAGCTCAAGCAAGCTGAGGAAGATTTGCGAAGCACAAAGGCAAAACATGAAGACTTTCAGAAGCAAGTTGTAAGAATCTCATGAGAACTGAGTTTTACAACCATACACGTTTTATCATCCCTTTACTAAACCGGCCATAGTCTATTGTTTAGCAAAGTTAATGTTATAAGCCTCATTATAATAAGAATCAAGCATTGTCTACCTACTACCTTCTAAATCTCCTCAAAATCTGTGCATACTTGCACACATCTTGGATAGGAGAAATCCCAACACATTGCAATGCAGTCCTGGCATGCTGCAAATTCGGAGAGCCAAGTGCTGAATTTCCTACAAAATAAAGAGTAGGATCTTGAAAGGCTTCTTGAATGTTCTTTCCTTGCTGCTCTACGGTTATCTAGCATGTTAGGTGAAAGTCTGTAAGAATTCACCAGCAATCGTCCAGTCTTGAGCATGTTGCTACCAACTCTAAAGCCATGTACAGTTGACCAGCTTCTAGCATTGTATGAGCACTGGGTCATGGTGCAAGGATTTATCTGGGGAATCAACTCCTTCAATAATGGGGTGTGAACTCGGCAATGTAAACTTGGCTTTCCATCATCTGAAACTAATTGAAAATCCAATCTTTTCAGGTGCTTGCATCCCGAGTTTGCATACAGATGAATGCTTCACAAACAAACAAAAGCCCATAGAATGATCTAATCATAGTTCACAATGCCGCTCAACCGTTATTTAAAGGTGAGAGAACTTGGACAGAGCATGACTTCATAACTTTTTAATAATGAGTGAGCTCTTGAGCTTTGCAGGTACATCACGGCTAAAGAACACATGCAATCCGTGCTGCAGCACAACCTGGCTTGCTGAATAATATCTTATTGCCCAATGTAACAAAGGAAAATGATTTAAGATATTTGTGACAAAGTAAAGTATTGCAAGATAAAAGTTGGTTAGGGTTATCTTTATAGTTACATGGTTTCAGAACGAAATGACTTCCTCTTTGGAAAATGGTGAGAGCCAGGAAACACGCAGGTTGCATTTACATCATTGAGAATCCCTCGGAAAGAAGTTTCAGGTGAGATTTACAGCCCAGATGCCTATTATAAATTTGAAATGCTTTACAAAGGTGTGTAAAATGATTCCTGTAGATTATAAAAGCAGAGAAGAAGTGGGACTAGAAGAGATTACAAAAGAGCAAAGCAAAAAGGGTAAGAGGTATCCAAACAAAAATTAATAATAAAAAGTTTCCTACTTGTAACATTTCCTTTTAGACATGGTAAATGAGACCCTAAGAAATGGTTCTTGTGACATGGAAGTTGACAACAAAGGTAGTGAAATTTATATTTAAAACTAAAGCTGCCATGGAAATTACATGTTTTTGTCCCGTGCCTGCCTTTTGTGCAAATGCAAGACAATAGTCCCTTGGACGATTGCTGCGTTAGAGTTCATGCAGTCCTCAAGGACCAAGCTCAGCACTACCTCTAACGGAAGCAGCTCACTCTACACCATCTTGTCAAGTTTGCTGCAGACTGAACATTGTCTTCCTCAGTCAAGCTGATTTCTTCCAGTTCTTCATGCCAAACAATGGTATGGCACTCTTAAGTTTGAGGTAAAAAGCTTTCACATATTGTTTGTAGCCAAACTGAATGCATTTTCATGTGCAATGGCTCAGTGACAACAAGCTGGATCCCATTCTAGAGTCACTGGCCAAGCTACGTTGGTTGACTTGCATAGGCTTAACCTCAGCGAGTCCATCTATCCACTGGCAAGTTCTCAGTGTTGAGAATAGTGAGCCAAGTGGCAGTGACTGAAGAGGTGAGTTTTCTATTTTTGATGCTTTTAGCTCCCCGGCAAACATCTGTATTCTCTTTTCTTCTTCTCTAGATTACTGACAACCTTGCTTGGAATGTATTACAGTCATACACATTGGAGATTAAGTTTCTTGAAGCTCTCTGATAATTCAAACAAAAGCCAAGCACTGCCACCGTCAAGCATACATGACAATTGGCTTCAAGAAGATGATGGCTAAGTTTATGAGTTTTGCAGTTGTCAATTTTGCAGCTGTTCTTGGCTCTTCTGTATCTGCCAAGTGAGTATTTCCGAGCTATGACTCGATTTCTGATGTTGAAGCATGTGAAGCTTTTATGCAGTTTTGGTCAGAGTCTAGAACAATGCACTGGATCTTTGCACGGAAACATGGGGAACATTCTAAATAACCCAGCACTTGAGGTGATATGCTCATTAACGTTTGTGATTTTTTTATCTCGAGGCATCTTTTTTTAGGCACTTCGAGCATTGACTTACACGGGAACTTTCATTGGTGGGGGCAACAATTCTAGCAAAGAAGGCTCTGGAAGAAGCTTATATTACGAAGCAGATGATCTGTTTTCAGACCTCTTGAAAGATGAAAATGAAGGCTTAGCATTAACAAGAAGTGACTATATCGCTTTTAAGGTTACAAAGGTCCATCTTGCAGGAACATCATTGGTTGTATCCTGGAATGAAGGCTACATTGGAAGTAGCAATGGGGTACATGCTCTAAAATTTATCCCGCAGCTTTTGCAAGTCTATTTCGACGTTGCATTGCAAGATATGAGCGATTGTAAGTTCCAAACCTTTGCATTTAATCCGCTGCTCTTTGTATGTTTAGCACTACTCTGCACTCTTTTACCTATGGTCTTCTTCAGAATCAATGCCATGTTTCCGGATAAGGCATTTTCAATCGAGGTAAGCAAGATTAGTTTACTCATAAGCTGACTCATGTCTTAAATTAGGTCCAACAAACGTGTTCTCAGTTTGTGCACACTTTCTTCAAGAAATCTCCTCAATTCATTGCTCTTTTGAAGGTAAGCGTTTCTTATCTATTTGAAGTTGTTATCCCAAAAGAAGTAAAAACATTGCAGAAGCCCATTACCAGTCAACCTCAAACAAGTGACAGTAAAGTAAGATGGATTTTACAATGTTTGAGTGTTAAACTTCTATTACATTTACTAGACTGAGCTTCCTTTGCAACTATGCTGAGTGGTTGGAGACCATGGGGGTGGTGGTACTTGTTTCAAGGATGGTGTAACAGAGCTCTTTGAAACTCTAGAGTTGGTTCTCTACAAAAACCTCTTCTTATGGTAATCGAAGTTTCTCACTGTTTATGTTGTGTCTAATCTTCACAAACATCCAGGCATAAAACTTCTGCCATCCCGGTCCAGTCCCGGCTGCTATTTTTTGTCATAACTGCCATAGCAAAGCTTGCAACGTGTCATTGAGAGCTCTTGCCTAGAGCTTGAGTGCTAAGGTTTTTTTTTTTTTTTTGTCTTCTCTAAGGAACTTTCTTGAGTTTAAGTTGATGTTCTTGATGAAGGTGGCACAATCAGATCAACTACTCAAAAAGACTGTCTGGAGAAGAATTGAAGATCACCATTGCTGCTTACAACTGAGTCCCTGAAGTGGAGAAGCTGGTGATGAATGCAAAGATGGACCTTGCCTTGCAGCTTATACAGCATGAGAAGCCCAAGAGCTTGCTACATGACTACAAGGCCATGGAGCTGTCCACAAAGTTCGATTTGTTTCTCACATGTCCAAGAAGATTTGGCCCCCGGTCAATCACAACATGGTCAGATGCTACTAACATTTTGGACAAATATTCACAGGTTATACTTCCCACCAAAGGATCAACTACAAGGAAATAAGTTCAAGAAAAACAAAGAGAAAAATCACAAGGATCTGGCTCACCCAGCAATGCACAAATTGAAACAAAAGTTTGGAAATGGTAAGAGCTGGACTTTAATTCTCCTTGAGAGTTTTCAAGAAGATCTGTCCACTAGGATGAATGTTGCAGCAATAAATTCACGTTTTAAACACCACCTACATTTTCCAATGAGAGATAAGATCTTTGAATTCTTCCTCCTTTCCACATTATCTTGAGAGGCTTTAATGGATAATTGCTAGGGAGGCTAATGTTGACCTTATAAAGGGATCCTACGAGATCAAGAAGAATTTCTTCAAAAGTTGAAAATTGAGCTAATAAATTCCATACATGCAAGTAAACCCAAAAGAAAAAGAATGGTCAAGATGGATTGTGAGCCAAGGAAATGGCAATCTCCTTAACCAAGGTTTAACCAAGTTTACATTGCCAAGTTCACACCTCATTGATCAAAGAAGTATATGTATGAATTTGTATATATTAAATGTATCTATAGTTGATTCCCCAGATAAATCCTTGCACCATGACCCAGTGATCATACAAAGATAGAAGCTGGCCAGCTGTATATGGCTTTAGAGTTGGTAGCAGCATGCTCAAGGCTGGATGGTTGCTGGTGAATTCTTGCAGACTTTCACCTAGCATGCTAGGTAACTGTAGAGCAGCAAGGAAAGAACATTCAGGAACTTACTTTATGAGGAGTCAAATAATCCGGAACACCTTCCGCTTGAAGTTCCTTGAGGATCTGAAGAAAGAAACATTTAGACCATGAAAGAATACTAGAGATTCCTTACTGACCCTGCCATCTTGCAAGTTATACATAAAAGATTTTGATTAGAATCCTTTCTATAATTTTAAATTTCTGTAATAACTTCCTATATAGTGATAATAATTGCAACAATATGGGATTTGAGAAACCATCTGCTTATATTACTTTTGTTACCAATAAAAGAAAGGGTATATACAAAGACAATGTTCCATTGTCATAAAAAGTATTTGTGGATATTGATGATCTCCAAGGTATAATTATCAATCTCTACACTAAAATGACATTATGAATTTCAGACAAACAATTTGAAAAATATACATCATCACTACTGGATGATGAAAACAAACAACTAATTCTTTAGGATTCATGTCACCTAGATGTCCTATCTATTCCAGCGGAGCTGGATTCCTTGCTAGTTAATATAAAGGCGCAAAAAGGGTTCTAGGGCTCCGGCTATGGCGGACTTCTGTGCGCTTTGGACGAGGGTAAGCGGGCAGGATGAGCAGCAGGCTCGCAGCGTGCATGGGACTCTCGAGAAACTCTACTCGGATCCGGCTCGAAAGTATCACGGCTTGAATCACATACACGATTGCTTGGCTCGGCTGGCCGATTTCCGCCAGGACGGCAGCTCCGATTTAGCAGCACTCACGGGTGCTCAGCTCGACGAGGTTGCCGTGGCACTCTGGTTCCACGACGCGATCTACGACCCCAAATCGAGCAGCAACGAGGCCGAGAGCGCGGCGCTGTTCGTGGACTTGTCGCGAGGGATGGAGGCGAGCGCGCGGGAGAGGATTGAGAGGATGATCCTGGCGACGGTGGACCACACTGGAGCTGGCGATCAGGCGGAGAGGCTGGTGGTGGACATCGATCTGTCCATCCTGGGACGCGGGAAGGAGGAATACGACGCGTACAAGGAGGGCATCCGGAGCGAGTACTCGTGGGTTCCCGAGAGCGTGTATCGCGAGAAGAGAGCCGGCGTGCTCAAGCGATTTCTGGAGCGAGAGCGCCTCTTCTGGACGGATTTCTTCCACGCCGGGTTTGAGCGAGAGGCGAGAGCGAATCTGGCAAGAGAAATCTTAGAACTTTCGTAGGAGGAAGGCAGGATGGAATGAGATGGATAAGCTCCTTAGAGCTCGTGCATTGGAATCGAAAACGAAGAAAAAACCGGACAAACCATCTCAGCGTTGATCATATCCTTGCTCAAAAGATCCGAGACCGCATATCTTCTCTAAGTACTTGACCTTCACTAAGTTCCAATTGTAAAAGTCCAATCCACAACGCGGGAAATTCTTGAGCCGAATTGCTGAGAATCCCGAAAAACAGCGACTGTCTATCCATGAGACTGGAGGAGCCGAGCGAGGTTCGCGCGCGCTTGGCACAAGATGCGTGATCGGAACACCAAGCTCCACCCTCAAAGATTGTGCAATCTCTCAAATAAAAAAAAAGTCGACCCCACCTCCAAGAACACCAAGCGGACTAAGAAAGACGATCGATCCAGAACACCGAGAAAGTGTAGTGCTTCCAGATGGGTTCCATCTTCATGATCATCGGCTTGTTATCCAAAAATTCAAACTCATTCGAAATATCAATCACGACATAAGCCTTGAGAGGTCCAGCAGAAAACAGGGGCAATACTGGCCGTTCTGACTGAATCTGGAACATAAAGTGTATTAGTAAAACAAAAAAGAAAATGCATCTAATTACCTCTCAAGATGCGAACGTCTTGTGATCTGTGTACCCTTCCTCATCAGTTCAAAGTACTAGCCAAACTGTGCCAAATAGTAATCAGCGAAGCCTTTGAGACCGGAACAAGGTCCCACATCGGGACATGGCCAGATGCCGGGCTCAAGCAAGAAGGATACTGACCTGCAACAAGTTGCTGTCACAAAAGAAAGAGATCCAAGTCACACACCTGTAGAACTCATTTTTCAGATGGCGCTCGTACGCCTCATCTGCTCGACCCCGTGAAAAGCTGTTTCGTAACGCCTTCGACGAGGAGCACTCCAAAACTTTGACAAGGAACAGCTTGATTCCCATAGCGCTTGGCAGTATACCCTTGAAGATGCGCCTGGTGAAAAAACGTTCGTGCACTCTAGAAGGCAACCAGCAATTTCCCCAATGATTCTTCATAAGCTGGCCATGCAGAAGCAGCCATCCACAGCGTGTTTCATCTCTTGTGAAAGCAAATCATGCGACACCTACAACTCCAAGGACATGTCCAACACATAAAGATCTACCAAGTGAATGCATACCTGGAGATTCTCAAGTAAGCATACGTTATTAAGGGATGATTGTAAACACCAGAGGGACTATCAAGTTTGTGGTATAGCCTGTATAACCTGTCAAAGTATTGCAAACTTCAAGACACGGCACAGCTTACGATTGTATGCTCCGACAATTGGCAAATATGATAGTGAGATTGATCGTCTGCGGCTTGTGGATGAAGTACTCACTTAGCTTGCTCGGCCTTTTTGTCGCAATAGTGTCCGCAATCCAATCCAAAATTTCCGCCATTATTCCTGGCTGCTTATAACCAGATAATCCAATCTTGTAATTCATCACCAAGGTCTGGAATCTGTAGTACCGCATCCATACTAACCATAGGTCTACTGCCTCCTCATCACTGAATTGCAAAGAAAGACCATGATCACCTGAAAAACAATTTATAAGCATAAAATTCATGAGGAGATAAGTTTACCTCACTGTTTGAACTATCCCAGCTTACTAGAATCCGGATGTGTTCTAAATCCCCATCCTGACGAAAGAATTATGTTCAAGTGCCCTTAATAAGCCATTTGTTTCAAACAACAAGGGCTTCGTCAACTATAAGAAGCCTTTTCGGACCACCTGGGTCAAGGAGATCCATCACCTTAACACCTGTAGCACTAAGAATTAGTTCAAGTCAAAGTGCAGACGCTACACTCACCATAGGTCTTGAGAATATCCCCGAAGCTTATTGTGTCACTGACGGTAGCAAGATTGATAAAATAAACAGCTTCCCAGTTTGGCGAGTCTTGTGCTCTCCAATGCCAACTGCAGGAAAGACGTCTTTCCGCTATGAGGCGGAGCCTGTATCAGGACGGCACCTCTCTGCTGAACGAGTTGTAACAACTTCTCTATTGCTGAGTTCTTCAGCGTGTAACGCCCCTTTCTTGCGACTAAGCCCTCAGTTACTGAGCCCAGATTTGGAAACGCGCTGACTAAAGTGTGTAAAAGGAAACAGTATCAGAAACGAATCACTCAGAATGCAGTGAAAGAATGTTGAAGGATGTCAGCTTTGATCAAGGGCTACCAGACTCAAACTGCAAAAGCGGGTTGGGTTGGAAGGGACTGTAAGCAAGAAATTTTCTCATTGCGAAAGATTTTTGCACCCACTACCAGACATGCAGAGTGCTTACCTGCAAGCTGCAACCTTATGTGATGTCGCAAGGGGGACTGCAGCAGGAACATGATTGTTAGTAAATCGAGAGTTAAAAAAGGCAATAATAATATATGACTGATAACAATGAAAGTCATAAGACGAAACAGCCAAATCAAGGAAGGTCAGAACTAGCACTTTTCACAAACTTGAGATAGATGACTGTTCCCTTCGGGAAACTCAAAGGTAAATGCCTGTTAGTAACATTCTTCCACCGTGAGTCCCTCAGTCAATAAACATCAAAGACACCTTTGTTGTCTCGTTTTATCTTCGTTATCAAATCAAATCACCCAATGGTGTTCTGACCGCTACGTCATCAGCAGTCACAAAAGAATATCTCTTCAGAGCCCAAATTGTGCCACTCGTGCTCATTGATCACCTAAAGCTCCATTTCCATGTCTTCCATGGCATGGAATAATCGAAAAAACCTAAGCCCTTCAAATATGAAGAGCAACTTAATTATTATAAAGTACATTATTTCAAACAAGAAACTGAATCTTAAGTCTAATCTATCCCAGAAAGGGGGATTGAGAAAGAGAGTTTGAGAATCTATTGAAAATTAGCTAACACTATTGCTTGAGACATGATTATCAGAGCTTATTATGCAAAGAAGTTCCAAATCACCATCATGGGAGAGTGGAGTATGGATAAATTAGCTGATTCAAGTTTAGATTTAGTTTCCAAAGTCTTTGCCTGCAAAAATTCGCTCCTCTACTTATTTCAGCGTGTTGTCTTCTTCTTTTGCGTCCTGCAAGAGAGAAATTCACACGATGGGAACAGCAAAGAGAAATCATAAGAACCTTTTCTTGGACTTGACAGCAGACACCAGGTTCCGAGGAGGTTTGAGCTTGTAGATGCGCACCATCCAGTGTTGCGTCGTGAACACCTGAAATAATGATTGTGAAATCATGTGAAATCAATGCGGGAGAAGATCACAGCTTCACGAAAGTTTTCTACCTCCTCGAAGTAGTTCAGCTTGAAGTACTTCTTCCCAATCTCGGTTCTTCTTACTCTATCGTATCCTTTACCATCCGCCTCCGCAAATCTGTATTGTCATCTCCGTCAGAGAAACACGGTATCTAAAACTGAAGGAATCCATACCGGTAGTACGAGAGCTTATACATGAGACAGTTTAGCATCGTTGGCGTTGCCTGAGAGTCAATGCGGTAATGACCATCTCTCTGCAAATCGAGAACTCGATAGAGTTAAAAATCAACGAGAGAGGATGCTTACGAGATAGTCAGGCTCCCTAATATGCGGGAAAACCCCTCCCCCTATCCGCACCATCCACAAAAACTTGTTGATATCATCGCTTGGATATCCCACCAGACCTGTTCAAACCATCAGCTATCAATGAATCAAGCAGGAAAATCAAGCACCTCCGAAAATCACGAAGACGTATTTGACATCCAGTGACTGGAAAATCTCCCAAGCTTGTCGCTCCGGTGAAGACATTGCTGTTCCCACGGTGGCTATGTGCGTATTGTTCCATGTGTTGTTGTCTACAATGACAGTCCTGTTTGCCATTGCTGTCGTTTGATAGCCATAATCCCACCACGACGCCACCTTCAGTGCTTAATGAATCTTTAGCAGGGAATACATGTGCCACAAACAGACCTTGTCATCCTCGCCCGTATTGTGGTTGAGCCAGGCATATGCTTCACGGAAGTCGTCAAAAACGTGTAAACCACCGTCAGGAGTCTGTGATGTCAGAACTATTGACGGCGCAGAGTATGCTTCTGCTGCAGCCCAAACACAATGCACCTATACTTGCCAGTGTTAAAACCATATACATGACAAACAAGAAAAGTAGACATACCACATAGAAACTCCCCATTATAATGAGAAGAAGAATGCCCACGGCAGATGCTTCCATGGGCAAGCCAAGAAGCCTCTTTCGCTTTTTCTCCACTTCTTTCTCCACAGTTTTCTTTTTGCCTCTCTTCGGCGCCTTGTCCTTCACTTCCTTAACGCTAGCTTCGTTTTCATTCGTGCTGTTCAGTGTTGCAGTGCTGTCTACTGCAGCGCTCTACAATAAAAATTCGATGGACTTTAGAACACGGAAACGAAAACAGTAAACTTGCCTCCGATAAGTCTTGATATTTGATCGATCTAGTGAGGACGGCGAATGCCTCCGACAAGGCAATTCCTGATAGAACACAAGCTGCTGGAGCCAGCACAAGCATCAGCCGCACCTTTACACACACAGTCGTTAGATATTCCGGAAGATTGGAATATTTTACTAACCATGACACCAGAAAAGTAGACTGAAGTCACCAGGTACAGCACGACGAACGAGCTCGAGTCGGAAAGAGGAAGAAAACATGCCTATTAATCACAACTTCAGAAAAACAAATTTTCACAACATGTAAACGAACTTACGATAATACCAGCTGGAACGAGAAAAGCGAGCACATTGATATCCATAAAGTAGGATGGCCATGTCGGCGGCTGATGTTCACTGACACTGGCTATTATAGGAATGTACTTGCTCGCATAAGTCCTGCGTCAGAAAAAGAAAAAACATTACCACCGACCTTTAGGAAACAACGTAAAAGCTTACGGATCAAGTAGACTCAAGCTTCTCCCACTCCAGCCTTTCGTGGGACTCGCAGCTACCATTGCGGCCAGTATTGCTATTAAAGCAGCAGCTCCCGCCCTGAAAACCAAAACCATTGAATAAAAGTAGAAACTCAAATGGCACGCTCATACATGCCAAAAGTGATAACAAATGACACCGCTGTGCTATATTGTTTGGGGCTTAGTACTCGTTTAATGTAGTGTGCAAGAGCTGCTACGTGGATAATTACAAAAACCTGATAGTAACGACAATGTCATGCGTCAAGTTCGGCAAAAGTATGTACCAAGAAGGACGCAAAATGCTCAGACGTCATAACAGCGTTGAAGCCAACAACAGGAACCAAGGCGGCCAGAAGTGTTCCGAGTATAACCTGAAGAAGCTTTACACTGTTATGCTCTGAAGCAAAACTCAAAAAGTATACTTGCCAAAGGTGCATATGCTATATACAACCGTGATGAGTATCTCCCAGTCACAATACATAGGAGGACATGCATCGGAATCAAATTGATGATAAACGTATAACCTCCCCAGGAACAAACCTGAACGAGAGCAAAGCTGAATCAGATTTATAAACATACAAAAGAGTACCATGTAGAAATAGGCAAGGGCATTGAGCGTTGCATAGAAAAGAGATCCTGTATTCAGCGTCTGGACAGAGTACAAATGAGAAACACTCGAGAAACCGGTAGCAAGAGAGCTCACCTTAACGTAAAGGTAAAATGTGAATATCAAAGCAAAGATAGCAACCGCTTCATTGTCATAACTTCCCGCTACAGACCGAGAGATGTAGGACGGGACCTGGAATAATTACAGCGTGAAATAGAATAAGAAAACAAGACAAGACAAATTCCTGTTCCTTACCATTGCGAGAAGTGCAGCAGCTGTTAGGCCAGCACCTCGTCCTTTGACTTCCTGCAAGTTCAAGAGCATATCAGACCAGGCAGTGACAAAATAAATTTCATGTACGCTAGTTAGCAAGTATGTCGCCCATGCCGCAAACGATGAGAAAATGGGAGCCGTGAACACACAGACTGTCTCAACAGACAGAGGGATGTTGAATGCGTTTAAGATCCTGCAAATTACATCAAGCGTCAGAGAGAAAACAAACAAGCCAAAGTTTAGGAACGCAAAAACAAAAATACATACCACCACATTGTTCCCGCTGTTATCGTGAGCCCGGGGTACACTGTGCCGCCTATGACACGGCCAAGTGGATACCTGTATGAATTTCCATTTATCACACACACACACAACTTAAACGAAAGAACGAAGTTTTACCAAGTCCGATCGTCAAACCAGTTCCAAAACTCGTAGATTCCAGCCTTTGTAAGGTACTAAAAGACAGAAACGCAAGAAAAAGTTCTAGATTTTAAGCCTTCAAACTCTAAGATCACAGACCTTCGTGACCCGATAGTTAAAATACGGATCGAATTCGTGGATGACACTCTCGTACTTGATAACCTACAATGCGAGCTCATTCTCCGCGAAATATCCATCCCACTCACCGAGAAGAGGCGGATCGAGAATGCCATGATCCCGATGAGGCACAGGATGAGCGCCGCAAGAACAGTGCCGAATGCGCGTTTGCCGCTGCCACTGACGAGCGCGCCGCCGCCGACGCCAGTGCTGCCGATCTTCTTGCCGCGCTCCATCACGGCGGCGTCGGCAGCAGATCGATCTTCCATCGAGCTCTTGGAGCTCGGCAGCTAGGGCAAAAGCCCTCCGTACATTCGTACGAGCTTAACACTGTTAGGTGGTAAACCAAATTTGCGTGACATCGACCCGGGTTCGATCCCGGGTGGCCGAAATTAGGGCTCCTGGGAAGAACCCTAAAAGAAGGAGGGTGGTGTAATAAAGAGGTGCTCACATGGGAGTCGCCATCGTGCGCCAGAGGAAGTGTCTACAAACTTATAACTTTGTTGCACGGGATTTTTAACGTGGTCTCTCGCGCCTCTCACGGACTGCCCCTGCTGCGCTGCAACCTTGCTCCACGAATTTAATTCTCACGCAAGGACAACCGATCGATCGAGCAAGCAAGCAAAGAGTTTTCCCTCCATCCATAACTTGAAAATCCAAAGAACTCGCAAGCAAGCAAGCAAACAAGAGAATTACCCTTGGGTCACCTTCGGTCCAGTTCAGGATCAAGACATAGCTCGAAAGAAAGCTTTTGTTTTTGGGGGATTTTCTGGATCCAGGGTGGTGGTGGTGGCTTGGGGCGCGTTTGCTTGCTGGAATTCTCCAGGAATTTAATGCGGTGAGTACAGTTTTTGCCAGAAGGCACGCACACACACAACCCAAGCAATCATCTCACTAGATTTTAAGTGCCAACGGTATAAAAACGTTCAAATCAATCCCATATTATTTCCTGATTTCGTGACACTTTTCTTTTTCGTGATCTTCTCCTCCTTCCTCTTTGTTGTTGTTCTTCATGGCTTGTTTGCTCCTCGCCTCATTCATTGAGGCGTAGTCATTGTACCATCAGAGCACTCCCTCGTTGGTTCTGATTCGCGATGGCGCTGCTGCCTAGGGTTCTTGCTCCAATCGCTCTCGACTTGAGGTAAGCGAAAGTGGTTTCTTGCTTTGTTACTCGTACAGCTTCTAGAGTGTCAAATCCGTAGGTCTCAGGAACTTTGTCTCTCTCTTTTTCCAGCACCGAAAACACCCAGGAATCGGGTGTTGATCACGCCAGGCCTCGACTTTGATTCGGACAATGGATGATCCCAGTCGCTCCATTCCCTCCAGAGAAAGAGAGAAGACGAAGAAGCAACGCTGCCAGGAAAAACAAAAGCAACACCACCACAGCGCTCTAAGACGATTTCTACACCAAAGCTTCCATTCCAGCCAGCGCCATTCTCTCCAATCTCCCTTCCTCTCTTCCCGATGATCATGGGAGCACCACCAGGAGGGAAGCTCCTCCTCGCTCTCTCGCTGCTCCTTTCGATCGAGCCCCTCCACTCGAGCAGCAGCGGCGGCGGCGATATCAAAATCTCCTCCAGGGGCGACGCATTCGCTCTTCGCCATCTCCGCTACTCGCTCCAGGTCCGCAACTTCTACTGGCCAAAGTCGGCACAGGATCCATGCTCGGCGTGGCGTGGCATCCAATGCGATGAGCAAGGCCGGGTCGTGGGGATCCATCTTGCGGGGCTCAAGAGGACAGTGGCCGGCATGGCGCAGCCCAGCTTCTCGGTGGATCCACTTCGAAGCCTGCCACTCCTCCGCTACTTGAATGCGTCGGGCTTCCATGCACGGGGCCTACTTCCGTACTGGATCGGCGAGCTCTCCCAGCTCCAGGTGCTCGATCTCTCGTCTTGCTCCGGCTTGCAGGGCTCCATTCCGGATTCTCTCGGGCAGCTCCGCCAGCTCAAGTTCCTCTCCTTGTCCGGGAACAACTTAACCGGGGGTCTTCCGTACAGTCTCGGCAACTTGGTCGCTCTCGAGGCGCTCAATCTGTCGTCCAACGGGCTGAGCGGTGGGATCCCGGGATCGTTCCAAGCGATGAGGAGGCTGGTGACTCTCGACGTATCGAGGAATCTCTTGGACGGGCTTCCTCGGCTGGGTAGTGGCGATGGTGGCGGCGTTAATGGATCGCAGCCATGGTTTGAGCGAATTGAGGTTTTGGATCTCTCCAGCAACAGGATCAATGGCTCGCTCCCGCCGGAGCTGGGAAAGCTGGCGAGCTTGCGAGTTCTCGACTTGTCGCGGAACTCTCTCGGCGGGACGATCCCTGCCGGGATTGGATCGCTCGCGAGGTTGACGAAGATGGATCTCTCGCGCAACAATCTGACCGGGTTCCTTCCTCGCGAGCTCTCGTCTCTGGCCAGGATGGAGGCGCTGGTTCTGTCTCACAACGAGTTCTATGGGAGCTTGCCGGAGGGGTTGACGGCGCTCAAGTCGATGGCGTTCTTGGACCTCTCGAGCGATTATCTAAACGGCACTGTTCCAGACGAGATCACGTACACGACCGCGCTGGCCGGGAATTGCTTCGAGAATGTGGCCAGGCAGCGCTACCAGAAAGATTGCCAGCGCTTCTACACGTCCAGGGGGTTGGAACTCTCCGGCGAAGTTGGAATGCTTCCCACCGCCACGCCGATCGTGGGATCGTCACTGGGGGGAAGGCTTGCGGGCAGCAGCAAGAAAAGCAAGAAGCAGCACGTAGCAGCGATCCTGGGTGGAATTCTCGGGAGTTTTGGATTCATCATCGCGGTGGTGGCGATCGTGCATGCGTTCCAGCTCCGCGACCGGCGGCGGCGGAGGAGATCGAGCTCCTCGTCCAAAGACGATCGGGGATCGCAGCAAACCGGCGGCTCCATGCGCCACCACGACCAAGAGCAAGCCAACGTCACGGTAAACCTCGCATGCATCGGTGAGGCGTTTAGCTTCGCGCAGCTCCAGCGTTCCACCCAGGACTTCAACCCGGTTAACTTGATCAAGGCTGGTCACACCGGCGACCTCTACCGCGGTATCCTCGATGGTGGCTTGCTCGTCGTGGTCAAGAGGGTGGACGTAACTTCGCTCAAGAAGGATTTCTTGCTGTCCGAGCTCGAGTTTTTCAGCAAGGCATCGCACACGAGGCTGGTGCCTCTTCTCGGCCACTGTCTGGAGCGGGAAAATGAGAAGTTTTTGGTGTACAAGTACATGCAACACGGAGATCTCGCGCGCGCTTTGCATCGGAAGATCGTCCCGAGTCCGCCGAAAGATATCTTGCAATCGCTCGACTGGATCACCCGGCTGAAGATCGCGATCGGTGCTGCCGAGGGATTGAGTTATCTCCACCACGAGTGCTCGCCAGCGCTCGTCCACAGGTACTTGAGAGAAGTTTTCGCTTTGCTTGCTAATGTTCTTGCTGGTGATCGCAGGGATATCAAGGCTACCAGCATTCTTCTCGATGACAAGTTTGAAGTGAGGCTTGGAAGCTTGAGCGAGGCTCGGATTCAAGATGGAGGAGTTCATCCAAATCTTATCATGCGTTTTCTTCGCAGCAGATCACAGTAAGTTTCTTCTTGCTTGGTTTCATTCTTTCGTAAGTTGGCTGACAAAAAGTGATGTCTTTTCGCTTGTAACCAGGACTTCCGAGCAAGATCCAGGTACAAACACAAACTTTGCAAACTTTGTTCTAGTTTCTTGCTCAAATTTCTTGCTCAAACTTTGTTTGTTTTTTCGTGTAGATTCTCCAGTGGCATCGTGTGCTTACGACGTCTACTGCTTTGGCAAAGTCCTCCTCGAACTCGTCTCTGGAAAGCTCGGAATAAGTGGAACCATGGATCCCGGCGCTGATACGTGGGTGGAAACCATACTCCCGCTCATCGACCGGCACGAAAAGGAGAACTTGAGCAAGATCGTGGACTCGTCGCTGCTCGTCGACGATGATCTCCTGGAGGAAGTATGGGCAGTGGCGATCGTCGCCAAGATGTGCCTCAATCCAAAGCCATCCAGGCGGCCAGCGATCCGCCAAGTTCTCAAAGCTCTGGAGAACCCACAGCGAGTGGTGAGGGAGGAGAACTTCACAGCCTCGCTGAGGAGATCCTCGCATAGCTCCTGGAATGGCTCCCTGTTTGGGAGCTGGAGGCACAGCTCGTCGGAGACGGTGATCCCGGCGACTCTCAAGGAGGAGAGCTTGCAACCCGATCATTACGGAGGAGCGTCGAGCATCCGGAAGCATTCCCATTCCCAGGGATCTTTCCAAGACCATGGTCACCACCACCGGAGGCCTGGGTCGAGCGAGATCTTCCCGGAGCCACTGGAAGGCCAGCAACATCACCAACATCACTCCTGAGGCTAAATAACATAGTCAACTTAGATGGCAAAGCTGGCAAAGTTCCAACATTTTAGCGTCAACCTTCCAGAAAAGAGATGGCAAAGTTCCAAGAGTCACGACTCTATTGTCAAGCTTCCACGAAAGAAATCGTACTTCTTCCATGAAAGAAGTATAAACCTTATAAAAAAGTTGGCGCGTGGATTGCCATGTGGCATGGTTATAGCAATGCTCCCAGTTTTGGAAATTTTCAAATCTAAGCAAGTAACACCTGGTCGCCTACTATTGAAGAGTTCTTCCACGAAATCTAGATGCTCTATAAGAATTCTCCATTGTTTTCATTTAGAGAAAGAGTAAACGAGAGAAGAAAAAATGGGATCTCAAGGAGCTGCCATTGTTCCGCATATAGTTGCCATTCCATTCATATGGCCAGGGCATATCACTCCACTCCTCCATCTTTGCCAGCACTTGGCAGCGTCGGGGTGTCTCGTCACGCTCCTCAAGACCCCCGAGAATTCACAGAGCGTTGGCGCCGAGAAGTGGGAAAATGGCGTGCGAATCAAGTCGTGCCTCCCGCTCGATCCATCCAAGGCCCTGCCGGCAGTTCACAAGGACGATCAGGCCGCGAAATTGGACGAGATCCTGCGCTACTTCAATCGTTTCCAGGCTCTCAATGACGACGGGTCGGTGCTGACGATCGTGGAGGACGTGGGAAAGAGCTCTGGCGTCCCGATCTCTTGCGTGATCTCGGATGTTTACGTTGGCTGGGCTCGCGATCTCGCCACCAAGCTGGAGGTGCCGTGGATTGCGCTGTGGACGTCGACTGTGGCGGAGCTTCTCGTGTATTACCATATGCCACGCCTCATCGCGCAGGGCATCTTTCCATTCGCAGGTAACAGCACCAAAATTCTCTCTGCCAAATTTCTAAACCTCTGTTCCTCATTTCCCAGGCAATCCATCCCACGAGAAATTCTCGATTCCAGGGCT